TGCCCAGACCACAAAATGCCCACAAAAATGCAGAGACACTCGTTTTATGTGTGAGGAGTGTAAAACACCATTGTGCATACGTCCATGTTTCAAAGAATTCCACAAGCTGCAGCAGTTCCAGGAAAGTGTCCAATGATTGTACATATGTATATACATGTATATTATAAAACAATAGTAATAAACATTTTTTTATATTGTTTGTTTGTGTAAACAAGTTTTGTAAACAATATGATGATACTAGTGTTTCTGCTATAATTGTGTTACATTCAACGAATGTATATATGAACACTGCAACATACTTGGGTCTCACAGGCCACGTAAGTTATGTGAAAAAATAAAATAGTGAAAAAAACAAGTAACCTTCGAATGCAAGTAAACCAAACTTTACCGGGTGTGCAGCATTCGCCGCTGTTCCCATACGCGGCTTATTTTCTGCCAACTTTATGCCTCTATATCTCGGTAAGTACCGATCGCAAAAATTTTGGGGGGGGGGGGGGGGGGGTTAAAACAATCAGAAAATTAATCTTAACATTTTCATAAGAAAAAATAATTTTTTTTCAAATATTTTTCAACACCAGGAGACACTTCAGGATTTGGGGTTGCGACAGTCAAAGGGTTAAACCTTCATACAGTAGTGTACTGTATATAATAAAGAGATGTGCTCAGGGAGAATGTAAATAAACCGGGTGGGCCGCGGTGACCATATTAGAAAGACAGGTGGGGGGAGCTGTATAGCGAATTTTGGTCATAATCTGAAATGTCCGTATTAGTGGAATGCCGTAAAGCAAAACATCGTAAAGTGGGGCTCTACTGTACGTGTATTGGCAAGTGGCAGACTGGAAGGTATAAAAAATTTTGAGTACTAGTATGTTGGATACGTAATTGTCAGTAGTGTACTAGTACATACATTGGACGCATAATTGTCAGTTGTGTACTACTACGTTGAACACAATTGTCAGTTATGTATTAGTACGTTGGACACAGTTAAGGGTTAAACCACTAAAATATTGGTTATTTTAAATAACTCATAACCACATATAAACAATATGGTAATATTTCTGCGACTGAATTCATGTCTGCATAAACAGCTCATTACAACTTTTCTTTTTCTTTTTTTTTTCAACAAGTCAGTCGTCTCCCACCGAGGCAGGGTGACTCAAAAAGAAAGAAAATACCCAAAAAGAAAATACTTTCCTCATCATTCAACACTTTCACCTCACTCATACATAATCAGTGTCTTTGCAGAGGTGCCCAGATACAACAGTTTAGAAGCATATATAAAGATACAGGTCCTCCATCACAAATCCGGCATCAATGAGACCTGTAGTGTATCGGATTACTGAGTTTGCCGGATTACATAGTGATTAGCTTAGAATACACTTAATAAAATTAACCAACTTATTTTTTTTTTATTTTTTTTTATTATCACACTGGCCGATTCCCACCAAGGTAGGGTGGCCGGAAAAAGAAAAACTTTCACTATCATTCACTCCATCACTGTCTTCCCAGAAAGGTGCTTTACACTACAGTTTTTAAACTGCAACATTAACACCCCTCCTTCAGAGTGCAGGCACTGTACTTCCCATCTCCAGGACTCAAGTCCGGCCTGCCAGTTTCCCTGAACCCCTTCATAAATGCTACTTTGCTCACACTCCAACAACACGTCAAGTATTAAAAACCATTTGTCTCCATTCACTCCTATCAAACACGCTCATGCATGCCTGCTGGAAGTCCAAGCCCCTCGCACACAAAACCTCCTTTACCCCCTCCCTCCAACCTTTCCTAGGCCGATCCCTACCCCGCCTTCCTTTCACTACAGACTGATACACTCTTGAAGTCATTCTGTTTCGCTCCATTCTCTCTACATGTCCAAACCACCTCAACAACCCTTCCTCAGCCCTCTGGACTTCCCTACCTTTATCCAAATACTGCTCACATACATGCTTCAATGTAAACACTTGGTCTACACATCCCCTACCCACTCTAAAACCTCCTTGCTCATCCGCAATTCTACATTCTGTCTTACCTCTAATTCTTTCAATAATAACCCTACCATACACTTTTCCTGGTATACTCAGTAAACTTTTTCCTCTATAATTTTTACAATCTCTTTTGTCCCCCTTCCCTTCACATAAAGGGACTATACACATTCTCCGCCAATCCCTAGGTACCTTCCCCTCTTTCATACATTTATTAAACAAAAATACCAACCACTCCAACACTATGTCCCCTCCTGTTTTTAACAATTCTATCATGATCCTGTCAGTTCCAGCTGCTTTACCCCCTTTCATTCTACGTAATGCCTCACGTACATCCCCCACACTCACATCCTGCTCTTCTTCACTCCTAAAAGATGATATACCTCCCTGACCAGTGCATGAAATTACCGCCTCCCTTTCTTCGTCGACATTTAAAACTTCCTCAAAATATTCTCGCCATCTACCCAAAACCTCTATCTCCCCATCTACTAACTCCCCTTCTCTGTTTTTAAATGACAAATCCATACTTTCCCTAGGCTTTCTTAACTTGTTTAACTCACTCCAAAATTTTTTCTTATTTTCATTAAAATTCCTTGACAGTACCTCTCCCACTCTATCATCTGCTCTCCTTTTGCACTCTCTCACCACTCTTTTCACCTTTATTTTACTCTCCATATACTCTGCTCTTCTTATAACACTTCTGCTTTATAAATACCTCTCATAAGCTACCTTTTTCTCTTTTATCACACCCTTTACTTCACCATTCCACCAATCACTCCTCTTTCCTCCTGCACCCACCCTCCTATAACCACAAACTTCTGCCCCACATTCTAATACTGCATTTTTAAAACTATTCCAACCCTCTTCAACCCCACCACTACTCATACCTGCACCAGCCCACCTTTCTGCCAATAGTTTCTTATATTTCACCCGAACTTCCTCCTCCCTTAGTTAATACACTTTCACCTCCCTCTTACTTGTTGTTGCCATTTTCCTCTTATCCCATCTACCACTTACTCTAACTGTAGCTACAACTAGATAATGATCCGATATATCAGTTGCCCCTCTATAAATGTGTACATCCTGGAGCCTACCCATCAACCTTCATCCACCAATACATAATCTAACAAACTACTTTCATTACATGCTACATCATACCTTGTATATTTATTTATCCTCCTTTTCATAAAATATGTATTACTTATTACCAAACATCTTTCTACACATAGCTCAATTAAAGGCTCCCCATTTTCATTTACCCCTGGCACCCCAAATTTACCTACTACTCCCTCCACAACATTTTTTCCCACTTTAGCATTAAAATCACCAACCACAAGTACTCTCACACTTGGTTCAAAACTCCCCACGCAATTACTCAACATTTCCCCAAATCTCTCTCTCTCCTCTATACTTCTCTCTTCCCCAGTGCATAAACGCTTACTATAACCCACTTTTCACATCCAACCTTTATTTTACTCCGCATATTTCTTGAATTAATACATTTATAGTCCCTCTTTTCCTGCCACAGCTTATCCTTCAACATTAGTGCTACTCCTTCTTTAGCTCTAACTCTAATCCCATTTATTCCTCTCCATTGAAACTCTCCCACCCCCTTCAGCTTTGTTTCACTTAAAGCCAGGATATCCAGCTTCTTCTCATCCATAACATCCACAATCATCTCTTTCTTATCATTCGCACAACATTCACACACATTCAAACTTCCCACTTTGACAATTTTCTTATTATTATTCTTTTTAGTAATTTTTACAGGAAAAGGGGTTACTAGCCCATTGTTCCCGGCATTTTAGTTGACTTTTACAACACGCATGGCTTACGGAGGAAAGATTCTTATTCCACTTCCCCATCGATATAAAAGGAAAAGTAATCAAAACAAGAACTAAGATAAAATCAAAGAAAACTCAGATGAGTGTGTATAAATAAACGTGTACATGTATGTTTAGTGTGACCTAAGTGTAAGTAGAAGTAGCAAGATGTACCTGTAATCTTGCATATTTATGAGACAGACAGAAGGCACCAGCAATCCTACCATCATGTAAAACAATTACAGGCTTTCGTTTTAAACTCACTTGGCAGAACGGTAGTACCTCCCTGGGTGGTTGCTGTTTACCAACCTATTACCTATATACACATACATGTACAAGCATATATATACACACCCCTCTGGATTTTCTTTCTAGTTCTTGTCCTTGTTTATTTCCTCTTACCTCCATGGAGAAGTGGAACAGAATTCTTCCTCCATAAGCCATGTGTGTTGTAAGAGGCGACTAAAATGCCGGGAGCAAGGGGCTAGTAACCCCTTCTCCTGTATATATTACTAAATATAAAAGGAGAAACTTTTGTTTTTCCTTTTGGGCCACCCCACCTTGGTGGGATATGGCTGGTGTGTTGAAAGAAAGAAAGATTAAGGGCCAATCCCTGGCCCCTTTATGTGCCTCTATAATCTTTTGACTACTATCCACAGGATGGATATGGCACGAATAAAGCTATATAACTAATTCGCTCCTTCCCCAAAACACACACACTAGTACACATCACACATGCTATCACTCATACTCATACTCAATCTCACAATTTCAAACTCATAATGTACTTTAGATAATTATATATAATTCAGCAGTATTTTGCATCCTTGGCAGATGATTCAATGTTTTGGTAAAACCACCCTCCCTCATTGGCTTTGGCTTCTATAGATGCTGAATCCTTATCCCCAGTCAACATTCAGCCCAATATAATGGAATTCTCCATAAAAAATAGGATAAATATTCACATTCACCATTCAAAGCAATGTTCAGTGGTCAACATGAACAGATTTTGGTGGCATAAAGAAACACTACAACTGCTAATACCTTACCTCTGTTTTTCTGCAACTCAGTATGACAAATTCTTTAATGGTGTAACTGGTATATATTGTTCTTAATACAATATTTCCAGGAAAATGGTGTCCAAAACAATGGTAAACTACTGCACATATAGTGTAGTAACTTATTAATTTATACCTACCATTTATTGCCATTCTTGTCTTCCACTGTACATACGCTCAACATTATCACGGAGCAATTTGACTTGATCTGGTCGAAGACTAGCAATGGTCACTTGTTTGCGAAGGAATTCATTCACCATCTCCTTAGAGAGACCAAAGGCATGCATGTTGCATGTGAAAGTACTGTAAAATGCAAAAATATTATAAGATGAGATAATGACTATAGGCAAACTGGTGAGGAATCACAGTAATAAGTTATCAAGAAGGAAATCAATGCTTATCTAAAAGGAATGAGTAAGAATGAAAGGAAACTGAATATACTTGCTGATCCATAATTTTATTCTTTTGTAATTCTCTCTTTTATTTTTCATTATTTTCTATTGTAATGACAGGCTAGAGTCTGCAGCATGTAGTGAAACATTATCAAGTAAGTATTTCAAAAATGGTGCCACTAAAGATGAAACACAGCAGCCAAGAAAAACATAGGTGCAAGCTTTCGTAAGGTTTACGTTACATAGTGGCCATTTAATCCTTCAATATCATACCAATATATCTAATACATTCTTCAGTTTTTAATTCCTTTAATTAGCTTTTAAAGTGACAATGAGTATGTATTAATATTTTAAAATCATTCCTAAGTTCAACTTTTACAAACAATTATAGAGTAGGGATGAGATACCAAAATATTTACCAATACCTTTACCAATCCAACACTCAATTTTTGGTTGATACCAATACCATCAAAATTACCCATACCCACCTATACCAATACTGTAAAAATCAGTTGGCGCCCACAAATACTGATACCATTAAAGATGGTACTCACTGATACCAATACCAATTTATCCCGATACTTTGGCACATGCCATTACATAGACATTTTCCTTATTTGATTAATGTGAGATTGTTTAAATTCTCAAAAAAATACAAAATTTTATAAACTAGATACAGTAGGGCGCCTTTACAGCATTTCACTTTATGGCGTTCCATTAACACGGACATTTCAAATTACGACCAAAACTTGCTACAGGTTGGCCATCATTAATTCGGCATCATTGGGATTTGTAGTGTGCTGGATTTATGAGTTTGCCGGATTACAGATGGTTAGGTTAGAATACACTTAATGAACCTATCAGTAGAGACTTTCTACTACATCTTCCTCATTTTCATCACTACTTTCTCCTCCACTGGCTTGCTGCTGTGGATTTACAACCATCTGCACAATGTCTGAGTCAGTATAATGATGAAATTCGAGTCAGTATAATGATGAAATTTGAACTTATGCTAAATGAAATTAGCTGCCTCAACCACTGCCTCAACCACTGCCTTAACCACTGCCTCTACCACTGCAGTTGCACTCAATCTACAAGCACCAAACACAATGAATTATTGTGAAATGTTTGGAAGAGCATGGAGGTTAATGCTCACTCCAGCATAAACAAGACCACACTGACAATACCTCAACCACTTCCTCCACCACTGCTTCAACCCTCGCATTTTTGTACAATTTCCTTCTTCAGTTCTATAGTATTATTATTATTTTTTTTTTTTTTTTTTTTCAACAAGTCGGCCGTCTCCCACCGAGGCAGGGTGACCCAAAAAAAAAAGAAAGAAAATCCCCAAAAAGAAAATACTTTCATCATCATTCAACACTTTCACCACACTCACACATTATCACTGCTTTTGCAGAAGTGCTCAGAATACAACAGTTTAGAAGCATATACGTATAGAGATACACAACATATCCCTCCAAACTGCCAATATCCCAAACCCCTCCTTTAAAGTGCCAGGCATTGTACTTCCCTTTCCAGGACTCAAGTCCGACTATATGAATCTAAGGACCTACTTTTACCGGGAAGTATTCTCCCTCTTCTCCTACACACCCTTAACCTGGAGCCTCACTATCCTTCATAAAAGCTCTTTACAGCATTTAGTAACTTATAAACCTATTCAATAAACTTGCAATCTGCCACCAGTGCTCCCCTATCACTTTATCATATGCTTTTCTAAATCAAATATATCCAATGAAACTTCCCCTTCCTTTACCTCAATACACGTTCACATTATGCTTGTTATAAACCTTGGTAATTAAATACGAACAAGTTGGTTGTAGCAAAGACACGTAAGCAACACTATGACATATTTATTAGAAAACGTTCAAGTCCTGGACTTGATCACATTTGATCAAGGTCCCAGGACCGAAACGTTTTCTATAATGTCCATGTCATAGTGTTATGTTTACGTGTCTTTCTAAACCACATATATGCTTCAATGTAAAACACTGATCTACACATCCTTCCCACTCTTAAAACATCTTGCTCATCTGCAGTCCTACATTCGTCTCTGCCTCTAATTCTTTCCATAATAAACCATACCATACACTTTCCTGGTATACTCAGTTAATACTTATTCTTCCCTTTATATGAAAGGAATTATACACTTGCTCTCTGCCAATCCCTAGGTACCTTCCCCTCTTTCAAACATTTATTAAACAAAAATACCAAACCACTCTAAACACTATATCCCCCCCCCCCCTTTTATACATTCTGTCATGATCCGTAGTTCAGCTGCTTTACCCCTTTTCATTCTACTTCAATGCCTCACGCACCTCCCCACACTCACATTCCTGCTCTTCCTCAATCCTAAATGATAGTTTTACCTCCTCTCCAATGCATGAAATCACCGCATCCCTTTCTTTGTTGACATTTAACCTGTAAACGGTCCAAACGTATATATACGTTTTTTTCAACATTTGAAAGTATGTAAAAAAAGTTAGGAGTTCTTTTTTTTTTTTTACATTTGATAAAAAAGTGTATAAAAATATTCTTGATCTATTTTTCTTTTTTTTTAATATTTGAAAATATGTAAAAAAAAAAGTATAGATTACTCTTGAAGCAACTTACGCATGCTTGGACCGTTTAAGGGTTAAAAAGTTCCTCAAAATATTCCCACCATCTACCCAATACCTCCATTCTCCCCATCTTACTAACTCCCTACTCTGTTTTTAATGATAAATCCATGTGTTCCCTAGCTTTCTTAACTTGTTTAACTCACTCAAAAATTTTTTCTTATTTTCTTTAAAATTCCTTGACAGTGCCTCTCCCACTCTATCCATCTGCTCTCCTTTTACACTCTCACCACTTCTTCACCTTTCTTTTACTCTCCATATACTCTGCTCTTCTTATAATACTTATGCTTTATAAAAATACCTATCATAAGCTTCCCTTTTCTCTTTTTATTACACCCTTTACTTCATATTCACCAATCCAATCCTCTTTCCTCCTGCACCCACCCTCCTATAACACAAAATTCTTGCCCCACATTATATTTCTGCAACAAATTTTAAAACTATTCTAACCCTCTTCAACCCCCCCCCCTTACTACTCTTAATTGCTCTAGGCCACACTTTCCTGCCAATAGTGCTAATATCTCACCCACGAACTTCTTCGTTCCCTTAGTTTATTACCACATTCACCTCTCTCTTCTTGTTGTGCATTTTCCTTTTGTCCCATATACCTCGTGCTTTAACTGTAGCTACAAACTAATGATCCAATATATCAGTTGGCCCCTTTTATAACATGTAATCCGAAGCTACCAGTTACACCTTTTATCACCAATATATAATCTAACAAAACTACTTTCATTAGTGATATATCAATACCTTGTATATTTATTATCCTCTTTTTCACTAATATAAGTATTACTTATTACAAACCTCTTTGTTCACATTGCTCAATTTAAAGGTCTCTCCATTTCTCATTTACCCCTGGCACCCCAAATTACATACTTACTCCCTTCACATCCATTTTTATCTCAATTAGCAATGAAATCCACCCAATGTAAATCTAACACTTGTTCAAAACTCCCAAACACCAACTCAACAATCACCAAAACCTTTCTCTCTCTCTCTCCTCTACATGTCTATCTTCTCCAGGTGCATATTCACTTTAATATAACCCAATTTTCAATCCAACCTTTATTTACTCCACTTAATTTTGAAATATACATTTATACTTCCTCTTTCCTGCCATAGCTTTATCCTTCAATCTCATTGCTACACTTTTTAGCTCTAACTCTATTTGAAACCCCTGACTAATCCCATTTACTTGTCTCCACTGAAAATCTCCCACCCCCTTCACACATACTCTGGTAATTATACTTTATGTATACCTGTACATAAATAACTTACCACATGTGCTTGGCATGCAGGTTCACATTAAAATCAGTAAGAGTTTCTTATGTCTTGAAAATGCATAATAGTATAATAAATACAGTAGGGCCCCACATGTGGGCCTACCAGCTTTCTCCTGCTTGATTTGAAGACGCTAGAATTTATGAGTATATGTATGTCAAACACGGCTCGTAAGACGTATATATACAACCGAAACGGTCAAAGGGTCAAACACAATTTACTGATGTACTGCAATAAACACTGAAAATAAATAAGTTACAAGTATAATCTACCCAGAGTAATTTGACCATAATTTTATGTCTGTTATATGGGGGTCCAGCATATCGAGGGGAACCATCATTTTATAAGATTCAATATTTTTCAAGGTTCTACCTCTACCTTGCCCAAACACAAGAGAATTCGCTTCTTTTACATCTATAAATAGTATTTAAATTAAAGGTTAACTTTAATTATTTTTTCTTTTAACATACTGGCCATTTCCTACCAAGGCAGGGTGACCTGAAAAGGAAACACTTTCACCATCATTCAGACTATCACAGCCTTGCCAGACGTATGCAGATATGACAGTTCAGGTGTCGTTCATAACAGCAATTATCCCCACCCCTCCTTTAGAGTGTAGGCACTGTACTTCCAACCTCCATGACATAAGTCCAGATTCAAGTTTTCCTGAATTCTTCACACAAATATTACTTTGCTCACCACATCCAAAGTCATCAGGCCCATAATACCATTGTCTCACTCTTTATTAACATGCTCACACTGTTTTATCAGATCCTTGCACACGGAACCTCTTTACACCCTTCCTCCTTCCTTTCCTAGGACATCCCTACCCTGCCTTACATCCTATAGTAATCATATTTTGTTCCACCTTCTAAATGACCAAACCAACCTCACACAACCCCTACTCAGTCCTATGGATAATACTATTAATAACTCTGCACATCTTCATCTATATCCTGTCTACATCTACATTTCTCAAGCAAATGTAATGTGTGTTTACAACAGTAATGATAAGACCCATTTATAATAATGAACTTACCCAAGCTGACCAAAAGTGATATTCTCTTGATAATGGAGCTCATCAGTAACAGCTTGTACCCTGTTACTCTCCACTTCTTCCCGTGTTACCACAGGTCGAAGAGAACGCTCACACTGGAGGGCATCAAAGAAGGCGGCATTCCAGAAGCGTATAGATCTCCAGATTGGCTGCTGCCGGAGGTAGGTATATAGAAATTCCTTACTCCTATTCTGTCCTCCTGGTGACATAGCTGAAACAAAGAAAACATTTACCATAACTTGCTCTCTATTTTGTACTGTGATTGCCTTTTTTTTTTTTTTTTATGTACACACTGGTCAGTCTCAATCGAGAGTTAGGCAACCCATAAAAAGAAATTACTTTCACCATCTTTCACATTATCAGTCTGCTAGAGTCATGCAGATTAATACTACAGTTCAGGTGACCCTCCAAAAAGCTATTTCCACACCCCTCCACATTAAAGAGTGCATAGCATGTATTCCCACCCAGGATCCAAGTCCGGCTAACCGATTTTTCTGAATCCTTCACAAAATATTACAATACTGAAAATTCTTCAATGGTACTTATGCATACCATCAACATACTCGTTGACAAACAAATCTGGTGTACTATATGCAGTCACTAAGTACTGCTTACTCAAAAACTTAATTTTACAATTAACAAATAAAAGCTACCCGTGCCTTAGTATAATTAAGCCTTTATGTTATCAAGATATACAATTCTGTGAAGTTTTTTTGTTTAGGTGGGTAACTTTACTCAAGTTTTGCAACAGAAGCCCAAGATAAAGATGAAGGAAAACACACAACACTGAAACCAATAAGGCACGTATTCCTAGGATACTTAAAAAAAATATATTTTATTTAAAATATTTTAGGCATATATAGTATAAGGAGAGGAGCCATGGACACTGGGGGTCGTCCCACCTGTTTTCTAAAGCAACAGACATAGCCCCATCACAAAGGCGGGCAGAAGCAATAGCAATGAACTACCCAGTCTGTTAGCACTAAATACCATATCATAAAAAACTTTGAAAGGGTCCTATAGAAGCAAGATAGCCACCCAATCTAGATACCCATCAATTACACAACCCAGGGCAGCAATGGGTTTAGAGAGGTCATCCTGTCTGTCCCAACTACTGGATCACACGACAAGGTCCTAGTTGAACTAGAGACAAAAAGAATTGCAGATGAAATATACAACAGGACTTCGCAAAAGCCTTCGACAAGTGTGACCATGGCATAATAACGCACAAAATGCGTCTGCTAAAGGATTAATACAGGACATAGTTGTAGATGGATCCTATAATTTTCCCTCACAAACAGAACACCATAGTGTCAGTAGTCAAAAGTGTAAAGTCTGAGGTGGCTACTCAGTGAAAGCTCTGTTCTGCAAGGCACACCAGTACTCCCCCCTTACTTGTTCCTCATCCTCATATCAGACATAGGACAGGGTATTTAAGCCACAAGTGGCCGTGTCTTCCTTTGCCTGGATGACACCCGATTCTGATGACAGTGTCTTCCGTTTGAAGGACACTGCAAGCTCAGGCGAACATCAACAAATCTTGCAGTGGGCTGACAGAACACAATATGAAGTTCAACGATAAGAAATTTCATTTACTCTGAGTTACTCCTGCGCCAATCTCCTACTACGATATGATAACCGTGAGGAAATTTAAAGCTTCATCAGGAGTATATAACATATTCCAACCAAACAATAGAGCGAAAAACTAACTGTCAAAGACCAGGGAGTGACATGTCGGAGGATCTCACCTTCCAAGGACCATAAACATTGTATCAATCTCATCTGCTAGGAAAAAAATGACAGGGATGGATAATGAGAAACTTCAAAAACTAGGGATGCCAAGCCCGTGATGGCTCTCTTCAGGTCTCGCTTGTTCTATCTAGGCTGGTATATTGCTGCACACTAACAGCACCTTCAAGGCAGGTGAAATTGCTGACCTAGAAAAATGTAGAGAAAGCCTTCACTGCACGCATAACTGAGATTAAACAATCAATTACTGGGAGCACTTGAAGTTCCGAAAACCTGTACTCACTGGATGCAGGCAGGGGAGAGATACATAATATATAAAACCTGGATATCCCTAGAGGAGCTAGTACCAAACTTGCACATGAAAAATCACTCCTACGAAAGCAAAAGATCACCAGATGATTGCAACATCCCCCAAATGATAAGCAAGGGGTGTCACTAGCATGATAAGAGACAACAGAATAAGTGTTCAAGAGGCTCATGACTGTTCAATGCCTACAGCATACATAAGGGGTGTTTCCAATAAACCCGCCCCACCCTGGCTGCCTACAAGCAGGCACTGGACATGTACCTAAAAGTCGGTACTGACCCCAGCGGGGCTGTGGTTCATACGTTGGAGTGACGTTGCAGCCCACAGTAACCAGCCTGGTTGATCAGGCCCTGTTCCCCATGAGGCCTGGTCACAGAACCCAGGCCACAGGGGCGTTGACCCCCGGAAACTCTCTCTAGGTAAACTCAGGTATGTAAATCCATAGATAAATTTATTTTAAAAACACTGGTAAGCTAAATTAGATCTTTGAGTAAAACCAACTTTATCACCATGATACTGTAATACACAGACTGACAACATTATTTTGATTCACAATGAAAATTTATTTGGAAAAGCCTAGTTAAAAAATGGATTTCACAGCAAAGTAAAGAAGTAATAAGTCTGCTGCTTGCAAACACACTGGTATCTGTTGACAACTTGATAACCAATATCTTTGTTTTCAAAAATCCCTTTGAATGGGGCAGTGGACCTATGGTACACTTGGAAACATGGAACAATTAGCATGATGTGCCAATTTTTTTTTTATACATGTCGGCATTTCCCCCAGAAAGCAGGTGATCCAAAAAAGAAAGCAAATCCAAAAAGAAAGAAAAAACTTTCATCATTCATTCACACTTTCAACCATCACTCACACATAATCACTTGTCTTTGCAGAGGCACTCAGGACCATGACAGTTTATATGTCCCTTCCAAACTGCCAATATCCTCCAAACCCCTAATTTAAAGTTGCAGGAATTGTACTTCCCATTTTCCAGGAACTCAAGTACTGGCTAATCAGTTTCCCTGAATCCTTCACAAAAATTATTATCCTGCTCACACTCCACAGCTCATCAGGTCAAAAAACCAATTGTTCACAACATTCACTCGTATCTAAACCACGCTCAGGCATGCATGGGATTGCTGGAAGTCCAACCACCCTCGCCACAAAACATCCTTTACCCCCTCCCCTCCAATCTTTTGAGTGATGACCCCCTACCCTGCCTCTCCTTCCCCTACAGTTTTTTACACACTCCACACTCCAACTATCTACTTGGTTCCATTCTCTTAAATGACCAACCAACCTCAACATACCCCTCTTCAGCCTTTTGAATAATACTTTTAAGAACTCCACACCTTTTCCCTAAGTTCCACACTATGGAATCCTCTCGCATAATATTTACACCACTCCATTGCCTAGACACGGACATCTCCACTGCTCCTGCTGCCTCCTCACTGAAGTATTTACAACCATGCTTCAATCCCATATAAGAGTGTTTGTTACACTAATAACTCTCACATTTTATTTCCTTTCTGCATCCTGGATAACGCCTTTTCTGTCTCCACAGATACCTCAACATACCACTCACTTTTTTCCTTCATCTGTTTTATGGTGAACCTCACCTTATAAACCCATCCACTGACAAGTCAACTCCCAAAATATGTTCTTGAAAACATTTCACTTCTTCCATATTCCTCCCTCCATGTGTTATCCAATTTTTCTTTATCTAATCGTTTGGTTGCCCTCATCACCTTAACTCTTATCTATGTTCATTTCAACTTTCTACCTTTACACACTCTCCCAAAACTCATAAATTTGCACCTTTTACAACTTTTCTTCAGATCTCCCAAATATTTAGAAAAAAAAGTTAAAAGTAAACACACTGCAAACCTCATTACAATACTATGTGCAGTAAACTTCTAAAACAAGTAATTTTACAGAGTGTATGTTAATAAATCACTGAATAGGTGGAACTTGAACTCATGGCAGGTGAGTGCTAAAACTCACAGGCCAGTGTACTTACCCACTGGTCCATGCCAGCCTAACAAAATTCATCTAGCTAGGCATATTTCTATACACTGCAGGAATGTTATGATGGGACCCACTGTAACCACTAATGAAGGTTTCAACAGATGAATCCCACACCAACATAGCTGTAGCGTGATCAAACTCAAGTTCCCTTAAAGCCACCGTCATGACTCATGAAATCTTAATAACACGATAGGAAACAAATCACAGAACAGAGGTTAAGCACACTGTTTTGAGTGTTCTTACAATTTCGTAAACCTATGTTCATTATGGTGCAATTTGAAAAGTATAACCAAATACAGATGCTGGTAAAAACACAAAATATATAAACAACTTTTCGTATAACCTACAGGATCACAGATACAATTTGCAGGCACTTCATCTGCTTCTCTCTCTCTCTTATCCACAATAACATCTCTATGATAATTTCTCAGCCTTTTTTCACTAACTTAGATTTGTTAGCCACTTTAATATTCTTTATTATTTCTCTATCTGCTTGATAATAGAGATGGTTGTTTATGGAAAGCTATACTCATGCACCAGTGCACTAATTTCTTTCTTGATCTTCAGAGAAACAGCCTGCTTACTGTGCACTTTAGGGGCCATGATGACTAGGTAATGCAAAAGATGGTGTAATTATAACACAAATATAGTTATGAAGGGTAAATAATCCAGAGATAGCACATCAAACCGAAGAGTAAATAATAAACTGTAGTACAAATTCTACTATTGGCTGAGATGCTACCATAGACATGCATCAAACCAAAGAGTAAATGATAAACTGTAGTACAAATTCTGCTGTTGGCTGAGATGCTACCAAAGACATTCAACCCTACTGCTAATTGGCTGCTAAACCACAATCACAGACCCCCACTTACATTGGTTCAGACGTTGTCCAGGAGGCAAGCTACCGCATCACTGGCTAGCTGAGGCCCACCACAGGCCAACCATAATAATAATACAGTAAATAATAATAATCTTTATTTCTACCTTGTCAACATGTTGCAAATATTTATGGACATCGCTGACATCATTGGCATACTATGCATACAGATAGCCCCTGGCTATGCAGAGCATTTCGGCCAACTTAGGTTAATCTTGTTCCCCAGGATGAGGCCACAAAAGTCGTACCATCATATTCATCTACATATCTCAAATTTTTTCAATCACAATCTAACTAAATTTCTTCTACAAGCGGTAAATCAACAACTTAAAATTATCGTAACTCTAACCTTATCGTAATTTAAGGGACACTGTACTTGGCTATTCTTTTGAAGAGTAAACTCTCCTCACTTCTTGCAAGAGTTTATAGTAATTTATAAATGTGAATAAAGACATGCTAGAGATACACAATATACAAAACCTTTTCATATGGTAATAGGTATAGCACATGTTCTTGAGATCTTGGCAGTGTGAGTAAATCTTCAGCATCAATTGCACTCAAATATACATGACAGAGATGTGTTTGGATAAGTGAGATGAAAGTGGCTTCGATCACACTTGCAGCATCGCTTGGCATTGAGGCGCGTGCAATCACCAGTCCTACATGCTCAGTCTGCAAACAAATTATAAACCATTCATAAATTATTTAGCACGGCTTTCATCTTTTAAAAGCATACACCATTTTATAATGAAGGTTATGTATCAAAGTTAATACCACATACGATTTATACTATCTAAATACACACTATTGTTAACCCTTCAGGGTTTCGGCCCGTTACTTGTACGGACCTTACGCACCAGGGTTTTTGACGTATAGTATGCCTAAATTCTAGCGCCCTCAAATCTAGTGAGAGAAAGCTGGTAGGCCTACATATGAAAGATTGGGTCTATGTGGTCAGTGTGCGCTGTATAAAAAAAAATCCTGCAGCACACAGTGCGTAATGAGATAAAACAAAACTTTGACCGTGTTTTTGGATTAAAACAGCGACTTTGCAACTCGCAACCACTCACCTTTTTCCCTCATCAATTCTATGATAACCTCTTCCTCATAAAATCCATCCGCCGACAAGTCAAACTCCCAAGTATCTGAAAACTTCACTTCTTCCATATCCTACCTCCCCCAATTTGATATCCAATTTTTCTTTAATCTAAATCATTTGATACCCTCATCACCTTACTCTTTTCTATGTTGACTTTCAACTTTCTACTGTACACACATTCTCAAACTCATCCACTAACCTTTGTAATTTTTCTTTAGAATCTCCCATAAGCACAGTATCATCAGCAAAATGTAACTGTGTCAATTCCCATTTTGAATTTGATTCCCCATAATTATTATTATTATTATTATTATTATTATTATTATTATTATTATTATTATTATTATTATTAATTTATTATTAGCAGTAGCAGAAATGTTGATTCTTTGCAGTGTTCAAGAGTAAACTTATGATGTCACTGTCCAATACCTGTCCGAATGGCCATTCCAATATGCAGTCATAAATGGATTGACATTATTTATACTGAAGTTTAATAGCAAATAATGAACAAATAAAACTCACACCACACTGAGTGGTGGGAGGGCTGGCTGCCAGTTGCAGGGGTCAGAGGGAGGGTAGTAGGGACTCGTGGGTGGCGGAAAATTTAAATATGATTTGGCGCCTGGGAATTTGGCGGTTGGGAATTTGGCAGTTAGGAATTCGCGAATGTGTGAAGCCCACAAAAGTTGAAAACCCGAATCTTGAGGGAGACCTAGTTCTGTATGTATGTATGTATATTTATTTATTTTTTTTATTATATATATATATATATTTATATATATATATATATATAATATATATATGATTTACACAATATATATTATATATTATATATGTTATGGAAAGAGTAGTAGGTAAATTTGGGGTGCCAGGGGTAAATGTAAATGGGGAGCCTTTAATTGTGCTTTGTGTAGAAAAGAATTTGGTAATAAGTAATACATATTTTATGAAAAGACGGATAAATAAATATACAAGGTATTGATGTAGCACGTAATGAAAGTAGTTTATTAGATTATGTATTGGTGGATAAAAGGTTGATGGGTAGGCTCCAGGATGTACATGTTTTATTGAGGGGGAAACTAGATATATCGGATCGTTATTTTGTTGTAGCTACAAGTTAGAGTAAGAGGTAGATGGGAAAAAGAGGAAGGTAGGCAACAACAAGTAAGAGGGAGGTGAACGTGTATAAACTAAGGAGGGAGGAAGTTCGGGTGAGATATAGCGATTTGGCCGAAAGGTGGGCTAGTGCAAAGATGAGTAGTGGGAGGGGGTTGAAGAGGGTTGGAAATAGTTTTAAAATTGCAGTTTTAGAATGTGGGGCAGGAAGTTTGTGGTTATGGAGGGTGGGGGCTAGGAGGAAAGAGGTAGTGATTGGTGGAATGATGAGTAAAGGGTCTGTTGTGATAAAGAGGGAAAAAGGAAGCTTATGAGAGGTTTTTACAAAAGATGAAGAAGTGTTATAAGAAGAGCAGAGTATCTATGGAGAGTAAAAGAAAGGTAAAGAGAGTGGTGAGAGTGTGCCAAATGGAGAGCAGATGATAGAGTGGGAGAGCTCACTGTCAAGAAATTTTATGAAATAAGAAAAAATTTGGAGTGAGTTAACAAGTTAAGAAAGCTAGGGAAAATATGGAGTTGTCAGTTAAACAGAGTAGGGGAAGTTAGTAGTTGGGGAGATGGAGGTATTGGGTAGATGGACGAGAATATTTTGAGGAACTTTTAAATGTTAAGGAAGAAACGAGGCAGTAATTTCATGCACTGGTCAGGGAGGTATAACATCTTTTAGGAGTGAAAAGAGAGCAGAATGTAAGTGTGGGGGAGGTACGTGAGGCATTACGTATTAAAAATGGAAAGGGGGTAATTAGGTGGAATGATGGGATCATGACAGAAATGTTAAAGCAGGGGGGGATATAGTGTTGGAGTGTTGGTTAATTTTGTTTAATTAAATTTTATGATAGTGGGGAAGGTACTAGGGATTGGCAGCCAGAGAGCATGTATAGTCCCTTTATATAAAGGAAAGGGGACAAAAGAGACTGTAAAATTTATTTAGGAATAAGCTTACTGAGTATACCAGGAAAAGTGTACAGTAGGGTTAAATTGAAAGGATTAGAGTATAGACAGAAGTTTAGGATTGCGGTGAGCAAGGAGGTTTTAGAGTGGGTAGGGGATATGTAGATCAGGTGTTTACATTTGAAGCATTTGTGGAACTGTATTTTAGATAAAGATAGGGAAAGTTTTTATTGCATCTATGGAATTTAGAAAAGGCATATGATAGAGTGGATAGAGGAGCAATGTGCAGATGTTGCATGTATATGGAATAGGTGGTAAGTTATTTAAATGCTGTAAAGAGTTTTTATGAGGTTAGTGAGGCTCAGGTTAGGGGGTGTAGATAGAGTGGGAGACTACTTCCCGGTTAAAAGTAGGTTTAGACAGGGATATGTGTAAATGTCACCCATGGTTGTTTTAATATTTTATAGATGGGGTTGTTAAAGGAAGTAAATGCTAGGGTGTTCGGGGGCGAGAGGGGTGGGATTAAATTATGGGGAATCAAATTCAAAATGGGAATTTGACACAGTTATTTTTGCTGAATGATACTGTGCTTATGGGAGATTCTAAAGAAAAATTGCAAAGGTTAGTGGTTGAGTTTGGGAATGTGTGTAAAGGTAGAAAGGTGTGAAAGTGAACACAGATAAAAGAGTAGGTGATGGTGTCAATTGATTTAGATTAAAGAAAAAATTGGATATCAAATTGGGGAGGAGGACAGTTATGGAGAAGTGAATGTTTTCAGATACTGGAGTTGACGTGTCGGCGGGGATGGATTTATGAAGGATGAGTGTTAATCATAGAATTGATGAGGGGAAAAAAAGTGTGAGTGGTGCGTTGAGGTATATGTGGAGGTCAAATAACGTTATTAATGAGGCAAAAGAAGGGAATGTATGAAAGTTTAGTAAGTACCAACACTCTTATATGGGTGTGAAGCTTCGGGTGGTAAATGCAGCAAGCAGCGAGGAGACGGTTGGAGCAGTGGAGATGTCTGTTTAAGGGGCAAATGTGTGGTGTAAATATTATGCAGAAAATTCGGAGTGTGGAAATTTGGAGAAGGTGTGGAGTTAAAAAGTATTTGTCAGAGGGCAGAAAGGGTGTTGTTGAGGTGGTTTGGTCATTTAGAGAGAATGGATCAAAGTAGAAATGTCATGGAAAGCAATATTTAAAATATAGGGGAAGGATGGCGGGTAGGGGTCGTCCTCGAAAGGGTTGGAGAGAGGGGGTAAAGGAGGTTTTTGTGGGTAAGGGGCTTGGACTTCAGCATGCTGTGCGTGAGTGTGTTAGATAGGAGTGAATGGAGACGATGGACTTGGGACACTGACAGATCTGTTGGAGTGGAGCAGGGTAATATTTAGTGAAGGGAATTCAGGGAAACTGGTTATTCTTCCATATGTCGGACTTGACGTCCTGGAATGGGGAAGTCCATTGCCATGCCACTTTAAAGGAGGGGTTTGGGATATTGCAGTTTGGAGGGATATGTTTTGTGTATCTTTATGTGTGTATGATTCTAGGACTGTTGTATTCTGAGCACCTCTGCAAAAACAGTGATAATGTTGCGAGTGTGGTTGAAAGGGTTGAATGATGATGATTGTATTTTTCTTTTGGGGATTTTCTTTCTTTTTTGGGTCACCCTGCCTCGGTGGGAGGACGGCCGAATTGGTTGAAAATTTATTTATATATTTATTATATTTATATATATATATATATATATTTATATTTATATATATATATATATATATATAATATATATATATATAATTATAATTTATATATATACATGGAAAGCATATAAATCTATAGGGGAAGATAAGTTGGGTAGGTGTCGTCCTGAAAGGGTTGGAACGAGGGGGGTAAGGAGGTTTTGTGGTGAGGGGCTTGGACTGTCCAGCAAGAGTGCATGAGCGTGTTAGATAGGATGTGGATGGAGACGAATGATACTTGGGACATGTCGATCTGTTGGAGTGTGAGCAGGGTAATATTTAGTGAAAGGGATTCCAGGGGAAACGGTTATTTTCATATAGTCGGACTTGAGTCTGGAAATGGAAGTACAATGACTGCACTTTAAAGGAGGGGTTTGGGATTTTGGCAGTTTGGAGGGATATGTTGTGTATCTCTTTACGTATTGCGTCTAAACTGTTTTATTCTGAGCACCTCTGCAAAGCAGTGATAATGTGCTGTGAGTGTGTGAAAGGGTTGAATGATGATGAAAGTATTTTCTTTTTGGGGATTTTTCTTTCTTTTTTTTTGGGTCACCCTGCCTCGGTGGAGCACGGACCGACTTTGTTGAAAAAAAAAAAAAAAAAAAAAAAAAAAATTTATTAGTATAGATATATATATGTATATATATATAATAATATATATTTATTTATATATATATATATATATTACACACAACACACTCAATTAACAGGTTGGCCGTCTCCCACCAAGGCAGGGTGACCCAAAAAGAAAGAAAATCACCAAAATCGAAAATGCTTTCATCATAATCATTCAACACTTTCACCCCACTCACACATAATCACTGTTTTGCAGAGGTGCCCAGAGCACAACTGTTTAAAAAAGCATATACGTATAAAGATATACAAATTATTCCTCCAAAAACTTCCAAATTCCTAAAACCCTCTTTAACCCTTGACTGTCGAAGGGCACACTTTCTGAACTGTCATTCTATGTCGGATAAATTTGTGAGAAAAAAAAAATTATTTTTTTCTTATGAAATGATAGAATCTTTTCCCGATGGGTAATGACACCAAAAGTTCGAAATTTGCTCAGGAAAAACTACACGGAATTATGCTCCCGAAAAGTAGTAGCGGACGGCGTTCGAATATGCGTTTTACGGCGATTTCGCCGATTTTGAGCCCTGTTTTCAGCAATTCTGTTGTTCCAGTCTGATTCACACTATATCGTCTCATGCGACTCTCTACTCGTGTATGTACCTCATGTACTGACTAACTCCATTTTATCTATCAGCTGAAGACAAGAAGAAAACCGCCCATTTACCATTTGAACTACCCAATATAGTGGTCAGAAATTGGCAATGTGCCAATTTCTCGCAAATTAAAAAAGATGCAATTTCAAATTGGGTCCAGGAATAACAAGGTAGACATTCTTGGCGCTAAAATAAACATTCTCTGTTCATTTGCACATTTCTAGAGCCCCTCTTAATATTATTATTTCTTTCTAAATTTGATTTTTTATTCATAAAAAAAAAAATACAAAATTTACTGTTATGAGATACTGGCATTATTGTAAAATGGTATAGATAATTCAGTGCACTAGTGAAAGAATATTAGACTCCCAGTTGACGTAATATGGGACGTGTGGTATGTGTATTTTGTTTATTCTTGAACAATAGGTAAAATCGGAACATTTCAGCTACTTGAGCTCAGTTTCAAGGTCGTTTTCATACGTCAAAGTAATGAACAATCATCTCTATTTCTGTAATACGTTTTCAATTTTATCACCTAAGACCATGAAAACGCGAATACAACAATAAATACTATACGAAAATACACCTCAAAGTCGGCATTTTAATCCCAAAAAACGATCAGTTTTTTTTTTTCTCATTACGCACTGTGTGCTACAGGATTTTTTTTATGTGGTGCACACTGACCACACAGGCCCATTCTCTCACATGTGGGCCTACCAGTTTTCTCCCGCTTGAATTTGTAAGCCGCTTAGAATTAATTACCACCTGTATTATATAGTCAGAAACAGTGGCGCGTAAGACGTATTTATACGGCGTAAACAGTCAAAGGGTTAAAGTGGTGTAGGCACTGTACTTCCCACTTCCAGTACTCATGTCTATCTATATAAAAATAACCAGTTTCCATGAATCCCTTCACTAAATACTATTACCCTGCTCACACTCCAACAGCTCGTCAGGTCCCAAATACCATTCGTCTTCATTAACTCCTCTCTAACATGCTCACGCATGCTTCCTGGAAGTCCAAGCCCCTCGCCCACAAAACCTCCTTTACCCCCTCCCTCCAACCTTTTCGAGGAAGACCACTACCCCACCTTCCTTCCCCTACAGATTTATACGCTCTCCATGTCATTCTACTTTGATCCATTCACTCTAAACGGGACCAAAACCACCCAACAACCCTCTTCACCCTCTGGACTAATCTTTTATTAACTCAAACCTTTCTGTAATTATCCACACTCGAATTTCTCTGCAAAATATTTATCACCTCACCATTGCCCTTAGACAGGACATCCCCCACAGCCTCAAACCACTCTTGCTGCAGGCATTTACACAACCCACGCTTCATACCCCATGTCAAGGAGTGTTGGTACTTCTATATCTTTCATACTTTCCCTTCTTTGCCTCCATAGATATCGTTTTTGTCTCCACATTATGATTTCATGCACACTCACCTTTTTCTTTCATCAAGTTCTATAGTTAACCTCATCCTTAATAACAAGCATTGTTTGATCACGTTCAACTACCAAATATCTGAAAACCTTTCACTTTCTTCCATACTCTTTCCTCTACAATTTGAAATTCAATTTTTCTTTATTTAAAATCATTTGATACCCTCATCACCTTTACTCTTTTCTATGTTCAATTTAACTTTTTACTTTACACACACTCTCCCAAACTCGTTCACTAATCCTTTTGAACTTTTCTTTAGAATCTCATAAGCAACAGTATCATCAGCAAAAAGTAAACTGTCAATTTCCCATTTTGTATTTGATTCCCTATAAATTTAATCCCACCCCTCTCCCCAACACCTAGTATTTACTTCTCTTTTACAACCCTTCTATAAATATATAAAAACTACCATGGTGACATTACACACACTGTCTAAGGACCTACTTTTACCGGGAAGTATTCTCCCTCTTCTCCTACACACCCTTAACCTGGAGCCTCACTATCCTTCATAAAAGCTCTTTACAGCATTTAGTAACTTATAAACCTATTCAATAAACTTGCAATCTGCCACCAGTGCTCCCCTATCACTTTATCATATGCTTTTCTAAATCAAATATATCCAATGAAACTTCCCCTTCCTTTACCTCAATACACGTTCACATTATGCTTGTTATAAACCTTGGTAATTAAATACGAACAAGTTGGTTGTAGCAAAGACACGTAAGCAACACTATGACATATTTATTAGAAAACGTTCAAGTCCTGGACTTGATCACATTTGATCAAGGTCCCAGGACCGAAACGTTTTCTATAATGTCCATGTCATAGTGTTATGTTTACGTGTCTTTCTAAACCACATATATGCTTCAATGTAAAACACTGATCTACACATCCTTCCCACTCTTAAAACATCTTGCTCATCTGCAGTCCTACATTCGTCTCTGCCTCTAATTCTTTCCATAATAAACCATACCATACACTTTCCTGGTATACTCAGTTAATACTTATTCTTCCCTTTATATGAAAGGAATTATACACTTGCTCTCTGCCAAATCCCTAGGTACCTTTCCCTTCTTTCAAACATTTATTAAACAAAAATACCAAACCACTCTAAACACTATATCCCCCCCCCCCCTTTTATACATTCTGTCATGATCCGTAGTTCAGCTGCTTTACCCCTTTTCATTCTACTTCAATGCCTCACGCACCTCCCCACACTCACATTCCTGCTCTTCCTCAATCCTAAATGATAGTTTTACCTCCTCTCCAATGCATGAAATCACCGCATCCCTTTCTTTGTTGACATTTAACCTCGTAAACGGTCCAAAGTATATATACGTTTTTTTCATACATTTGAAAGTATGTAAAAAAAGTTAGGAGTTCTTTTTTTTTTTTTACATTTGATAAAAAAGTGTATAAAAATATTCTTGATCTATTTTTCTTTTTTTTTAATATTTGAAAATATGTAAAAAAAAAAGTATAGATTACTCTTGAAGCAACTTACGCATGCTTGGACCGTTTAAGGGTTAAAAAGTTCCTCAAAATATTCCCACCATCTACCCAATACCTCCATTCTCCCCATCTTACTAACTCCCTACTCTGTTTTTAATGATAAATCCATGTGTTCCCTAGCTTTCTTAACTTGTTTAACTCACTCAAAAATTTTTTCTTATTTTCTTTAAAATTCCTTGACAGTGCCTCTCCCACTCTATCCATCTGCTCTCCTTTTACACTCTCACCACTTCTTCACCTTTCTTTTACTCTCCATATACTCTGCTCTTCTTATAATACTTATGCTTTATAAAAATACCTATCATAAGCTTCCCTTTTCTCTTTTTATTACACCCTTTACTTCATATTCACCAATCCAATCCTCTTTCCTCCTGCACCCACCCTCCTATAACACAAAATTCTTGCCCCACATTATATTTCTGCAACAAATTTTAAAACTATTCTAACCCTCTTCAACCCCCCCCCCTTACTACTCTTAATTGCTCTAGGCCACACTTTCCTGCCAATAGTGCTAATATCTCACCCACGAACTTCTTCGTTCCCTTAGTTTATTACCACATTCACCTCTCTCTTCTTGTTGTGCATTTTCCTTTTGTCCCATATACCTCGTGCTTTAACTGTAGCTACAAACTAATGATCCAATATATCAGTTGGCCCCTTTTATAACATGTAATCCGAAGCTACCAGTTACACCTTTTATCACCAATATATAATCTAACAAAACTACTTTCATTAGTGATATATCAATACCTTGTATATTTATTATCCTCTTTTTCACTAATATAAGTATTACTTATTACAAACCTCTTTGTTCACATTGCTCAATTTAAAGGTCTCTCCATTTCTCATTTACCCCTGGCACCCCAAATTACATACTTACTCCCTTCACATCCATTTTTATCTCAATTAGCAATGAAATCCACCCAATGTAAATCTAACACTTGTTCAAAACTCCCAAACACCAACTCAACAATCACCAAAACCTTTCTCTCTCTCTCTCCTCTACATGTCTATCTTCTCCAGGTGCATATTCACTTAATATAACCCAATTTTCAATCCAACCTTTATTTACTCCACTTAATTTTGAAATATACATTTATACTTCCTCTTTCCTGCCATAGCTTTATCCTTCAATCTCATTGCTACACTTTGTTTAGCTCTAACTCTATTTGAAACCCCTGACTAATCCCATTTACTTGTCTCCACTGAAAATCTCCCACCCCCTTCACACATACTCTGGTAATTATACTTATGTATACCTGTACCTAAATAAACTTACACACTGTGCTGGCATGCAGGTACACATTAAAATCAGTAAGAGTTTCTTATGTCTTGAAATGCCATATTAGTAATAATAAATACAGTAGGGCCCACTTGTGGGCCTACCAGCTTTCTCCTGCTTGATTTGAAGACGCTAGAATTTATGAGTATATGTATGTCAAACACGGCTCGTAAGACGTATATATACAACCGAAACGGTCAAAGGGTCAAACACAATTTACTGATGTACTGCAATAAACACTGAAAATAAATAAGTTACAAGTATAATCTACCACAGAGTAATTTGACCATAATTTTATGTTGTTATATGGGGGGGCTCACCAGCATATCGAGGGGAACCATCATTTTATAAGATTCAATATTTTTCAAGGTTCTACCTCTACCTTGCCCAAACACAAGAGAATTCGCTTCTTTTACATCTATAAATAGTATTTAAATTAAAGGTTAACTTTAATTATTTTTTCTTTTAACATACTGGCCATACTACCAACGCAGGGTGACCTGAAAAGGAATACACTTTCTCCATCATTCAGACTATCACAGCCTTGCCTAGACGTATGCAGATATGTCAGTTCAGGTGTCGTTCAGAACAGCAATTATCCCCACCCTCCTTTAGAGTGTAGGCACCTTACTTCCAACCCTTCCATGACATAAGTCCAGATTCAAGTTTTCCTGAATTCTTCACACAAATATTACTTTGCTCACCACATCCAAAGTCATCAGGCCCATAATACCATTGTCTCACTCTTTATTAACATGCTCACACTGTTTTATCAGATCCTTGCACACGGAACCTCTTTACACCCTTCCTCCTTCCTTTCCTAGGACATCCCTACCCTGCCTTACATCCTATAGTAATCATATTTTGTTCCACCTTCTAAATGACCAAACCAACCTCACACAACCCCTACTCAGTCCTATGGATAATATATTAATTACTCTGCACATCTTCATCTTTTCTCCTGGTCTACATCTACATTTCTCAAGGCAAATGTATTGTGTGTTTACAACAGTAATGATAAGACCATTTTATAATAAATGAACTTACCAAGTGACCAAAAGTGATATTCTTTGATAATGGAGCCTCATCAGTAAAAGCTTGTACCTGTTATCTCCACTTCTTCCCGTGTTACACGGTCGAAGAGAAACGCTCACCACTGGAGGGCATCAATGAAGGCGGCATTCCAGGGAAGCGTATAGATCTCAGATTGGCTGCTGCCGGAGGTAGGTATATAGAATCCCTTACTCCTATTCTGTCCTCCTGGTGACATAGCTGAAACAAAGAAAACATTTACCATAACTTTGCTCCTCTATTTTGTACTGTGATTGCCTTTTTTTTGTTTTTTTTATGTACACACTGGTCAGTCTCAATCGAGAGTTAGGCAACCCATAAAAAGAAATTACTTTCACCATCTTTCACATTATCAGTCTGCTAGAGTCATGCAGATTAATACTACAGTTCAGGTGACCCTCCAAAAAGCTATTTCCACACCCCTCCACATTAAAGAGTGCATAGCATGTATTCCCACCCAGGATCCAAGTCCGGCTAACCGATTTTTCTGAATCCTTCACAAAATATTACAATACTGAAAATTCTTCAATGGTACTTATGCATACCATCAACATACTCGTTGACAAACAAATCTGGTGTACTATATGCAGTCACTAAGTACTGCTTACTCAAAAACTTAATTTTACAATTAACAAATAAAAGCTACCCGTGCCTTAGTATAATTAAGCCTTTATGTTATCAAGATATACAATTCTGTGAAGTTTTTTTGTTTAGGTGGGTAACTTTACTCAAGTTTTGCAACAGAAGCCCAAGATAAAGATGAAGGAAAACACACAACACTGAAACCAATAAGGCACGTATTCCTAGAATACTTAAAAAATAATACATTTATTTAAATATTTTAGGCATATATAGTATAAGGAGAGGAGCCATGGACACTGGGGGTCGTCCCACCTGTTTTCTAAAGCAACAGACATAGCCCCATCACAAAGGCGGGCAGAAGCAATAGCAATGAACTACCCAGTCTGTTAGCACTAAATACCATATCATAAAAAACTTTGAAAGGGTCCTATAGAAGCAAGATAGCCACCCAATCTAGATACCCATCAATTACACAACCCAGGGCAGCAATGGGTTTAGAGAGGTCATCCTGTCTGTCCCAACTACTGGATCACACGACAAGGTCCTAGTTGAACTAGAGACAAAAAGAATTGCAGATGAAATATACAACAGGACTTCGCAAAAGCCTTCGACAAGTGTGACCATGGCATAATAACGCACAAAATGCGTCTGCTAAAGGATTAATACAGGACATAGTTGTAGATGGATCCTATAATTTTCCCTCACAAACAGAACACCATAGTGTCAGTAGTCAAAAGTGTAAAGTCTGAGGTGGCTACTCAGTGAAAGCTCTGTTCTGCAAGGCACACCAGTACTCCCCCCTTACTTGTTCCTCATCCTCATATCAGACATAGGACAGGGTATTTAAGCCACAAGTGGCCGTGTCTTCCTTTGCCTGGATGACACCCGATTCTGATGACAGTGTCTTCCGTTTGAAGGACACTGCAAGCTCAGGCGAACATCAACAAATCTTTCAGTGGGCTGCAGAACACAATATGAAGTTCAACGATAAGAAATTTCAATTACTCTGAGTTACTCCTGCGCAACTCTCCTACTCCGATATGATAACCGTGAGGAAATTAAAGCTTCATCAGAGTATAAAACAAATTCCAACCACACAATAGAGCGAAAAACTAACGTCAAAGACCTGGGAGTGATCATGTCGGAGGATCTCACCTTCAAGGACCATAACATTGTATCAATCACATCTGCTAGAAAAATGACAGGATGGATAATGAGAACCTTCAAAACTAGGGATGCCAAGCCCGTGATGGCACTCTTCAGGTCGCTTGTTCTATCTAGGCTGGAATATTGCTGCACACTAACAGCACCTTCAAGGCAGGTGAAATTGCTGACCTAGAAAAATGTAGAGAAAGCCTTCACTGCACGCATAACTGAGATTAAACAATCAATTACTGGGAGCACTTGAAGTTCCGAAAACCTGTACTCACTGGATGCAGGCAGGGGAGAGATACATAATATATAAAACCTGGATATCCCTAGAGGAGCTAGTACCAAACTTGCACATGAAAAATCACTCCTACGAAAGCAAAAGATCACCAGATGATTGCAACATCCCCCAAATGATAAGCAAGGGGTGTCACTAGCATGATAAGAGACAACAGAATAAGTGTTCAAGAGGCTCATGACTGTTCAATGCCTACAGCATACATAAGGGGTGTTTCCAATAAACCCGCCCCACCCTGGCTGCCTACAAGCAGGCACTGGACATGTACCTAAAAGTCGGTACTGACCCCAGCGGGGCTGTGGTTCATACGTTGGAGTGACGTTGCAGCCCACAGTAACCAGCCTGGTTGATCAGGCCCTGTTCCCCATGAGGCCTGGTCACAGAACCCAGGCCACAGGGGCGTTGACCCCCGGAAACTCTCTCTAGGTAAACTCAGGTATGTAAATCCATAGATAAATTTATTTTAAAAACACTGGTAAGCTAAATTAGATCTTTGAGTAAAACCAACTTTATCACCATGATACTGTAATACACAGACTGACAACATTATTTTGATTCACAATGAAAATTTATTTGGAAAAGCCTAGTTAAAAAATGGATTTCACAGCAAAGTAAAGAAGTAATAAGTCTGCTGCTTGCAAACACACTGGTATCTGTTGACAACTTGATAACCAATATCTTTGTTTTCAAAAATCCCTTTGAATGGGGCAGTGGACCTATGGTACACTTGGAAACATGGAACAATTAGCATGATGTGCCAATTTTTTTTTTATACATGTCGGCATTTCCCCCAGAAAGCAGGTGATCCAAAAAAGAAAGCAAATCCAAAAAGAAAGAAAAAACTTTCATCATTCATTCACACTTTCAACCATCACTCACACATAATCACTTGTCTTTGCAGAGGCACTCAGGACCATGACAGTTTATATGTCCCTTCCAAACTGCCAATATCCTCCAAACCCCTAATTTAAAGTTGCAGGAATTGTACTTCCCATTTTCCAGGAACTCAAGTACTGGCTAATCAGTTTCCCTGAATCCTTCACAAAAATTATTATCCTGCTCACACTCCACAGCTCATCAGGTCAAAAAACCAATTGTTCACAACATTCACTCGTATCTAAACCACGCTCAGGCATGCATGGGATTGCTGGAAGTCCAACCACCCTCGCCACAAAACATCCTTTACCCCCTCCCCTCCAATCTTTTGAGTGATGACCCCCTACCCTGCCTCTCCTTCCCCTACAGTTTTTTACACACTCCACACTCCAACTATCTACTTGGTTCCATTCTCTTAAATGACCAACCAACCTCAACATACCCCTCTTCAGCCTTTTGAATAATACTTTTAAGAACTCCACACCTTTTCCCTAAGTTCCACACTATGGAATCCTCTCGCATAATATTTACACCACTCCATTGCCTAGACACGGACATCTCCACTGCTCCTGCTGCCTCCTCACTGAAGTATTTACAACCATGCTTCAATCCCATATAAGAGTGTTTGTTACACTAATAACTCTCACATTTTATTTCCTTTCTGCATCCTGGATAACGCCTTTTCTGTCTCCACAGATACCTCAACATACCACTCACCTTTTTTCCTTCATCAGTTTTATGGTTAACCTCAACCTTCATAAACCCATCCACTGACAAGTCAACTCCCAAATATGTATCTGAAAACATTCACTTCTTCCATATTCCCTCCCTCCAATGTGATATCCAATTTTTCTTTATCTAAATCGTTTGATGCCCTCATCACCTTACTCTTATCTATGTTCATTTTCAACTTTCTACCTTTACACACTCTCCCAAACTCATAAATTATCCTTTTACAACTTTTCTTCAGAATCTCCCAAATATTTAGAAAAAAAAGTTAAAAGTAAACACACTGCAAACCTCATTACAATACTATGTGCAGTAAACTTCTAAAACAAGTAATTTTACAGAGTGTATGTTAATAAATCACTGAATAGGTGGAACTTGAACTCATGGCAGGTGAGTGCTAAAACTCACAGGCCAGTGTACTTACCCACTGGTCCATGCCAGCCTAACAAAATTCATCTAGCTAGGCATATTTCTATACACTGCAGGAATGTTATGATGGGACCCACTGTAACCACTAATGAAGGTTTCAACAGATGAATCCCACACCAACATAGCTGTAGCGTGATCAAACTCAAGTTCCCTTAAAGCCACCGTCATGACTCATGAAATCTTATTAACAAGAATAGGAAACAAAATCTCAGAACATGAGGTTAGCACACTGTTTTGAGTGTTCTTACAATTTCGTAAACCTATGTTCATTATGGTGCAATTTGAAAAGTATAACCAAATACAGATGCTGGTAAAAACACAAAATATATAAACAACTTTTCGTATAACCTACAGGATCACAGATACAATTTGCAGGCACTTCATCTGCTTCTCTCTCTCTATTATCCACATTAAACATCTATATGTAATTTCTCAGCCTTTTTTCACTAACTTAGATTTGTTAGCCACTTTAATATTCTTTATTATTTCTCTATCTGCTTGATAATAGAGATGGTTGTTTATGGAAAGCTATACTCATGCACCAGTGCACTAATTTCTTTCTTGATCTTCAGAGAAACAGCCTGCTTACTGTGCACTTTAGGGGCCATGATGACTAGGTAATGCAAAAGATGGTGTAATTATAACACAAATATAGTTATGAAGGGTAAATAATCCAGAGATAGCACATCAAACCGAAGAGTAAATAATAAACTGTAGTACTTATTTAACTATGGATGGATGCTACATAGAATGCATCAAACCAAAGAGTAAATGATAAACTGTAGTACAAATTCTGCTGTTGGCTGAGATGCTACCAAAGACATTCAACCCTACTGCTAATTGGCTGCTAAACCACAATCACAGACCCCCACTTACATTGGTTCAGACGTTGTCCAGGAGGCAAGCTACCGCATCACTGGCTAGCTGAGGCCCACCACAGGCCAACCATAATAATAATACAGTAAATAATAATAATCTTTATTTCTACCTGTACATGATGCAAATATTATGGACATAGCTGACATCATTGGCATACTACTGCATACAGAAAGCCCCTGGCTATGCAGAGCATTTCGGCCAACTTAGGTTAATCTTGTTCCCCAGGATGAGGCCCACAAAAGTCGTACCATCATATTCACAACATATCTCAAATTTTTTCAATCACAATCTAACTAAATTTCTTCTACAAGCGGTAAATCAACAACTTAAAATTATCGTAACTCAAACCTATCGTAATTTAAGGGACCACTGTACTTGGCTATCTTTTGAAGAGTAAACTCTCTCACTTCTTGCAAGAGTTTATAGTAATTTATAAATGTGAATAAAGACATGCTAGAGATACACAATATACAAAACCTTTTCATATGGTAATAGGTATAGCACATGTTCTTGAGATCTTGGCAGTGTGAGTAAATCTTCAGCATCAATTGCACTCAAATATACATGACAGAGATGTGTTTGGATAAGTGAGATGAAAGTGGCTTCGATCACACTTGCAGCATCGCTTGGCATTGAGGCGCGTGCAATCACCAGTCCTACATGCTCAGTCTGCAAACAAATTATAAACCATTCATAATTATTTAGCAGGCTTCATCTTCTTAAAGGCATACACCACTTTTATAATGAAGGTTATGTATCAAAGTTAATACCACATACGATTTATACTATCTAAATACACACTATTGTTAACCCTTTCAGGGTTTCGGCCGTACTAGTACGGCTTACGCACCAGGGTTTTTGACGTACTAGTATGCCTAAATTCTAGCGCCCTCAAATCTAGTGAGAGAAAGCTGGTAGGCCTACATATGAAAGAATGGGTCTATGTGGTCAGTGTGCGCAGTATAAAAAAAATCCTGCAGCACACAGTGCGTAATGAGAAAAAAAAAACTTTGACCGTGTTTTTGGATTAAAACAGCGACTTTGCACTGTATTTTCGTATGGTATTTATTGTTGTATTCTAGTTTTCTTGGTCTCATTCTATAGAATGGAAGACATATTACAGAAATAGAGACAATTCTGACTGATTTTACAATGAAAAGTACCTTGAAATTGAGCTCAAAGTAGCAGAAATGTTCGATTTTTACCAAAGTTCAAAAGTAAACAAATCATGCTAAGCGTCCAATACACGTCAACTGGCGAGTCTAATATTCTTTCACAAGTGCGCTGATATTATTTATGTTGTTAAATTAGATACATGTGCAACTCTTGGGTATCTTTATTGAGGAAACGTTCCTCCACATAGTGGCTTCATCAGTCCATACAAAGGATAAACTTGAAGAACAGGAGGAGAATGAGGTAATCAGTCCCTCAACCTTGAGTCGATGTGGTCACTCCATCAATCTTGAACAGAGTACGGCATATAAGCGTGTCGGTTCTTTGAACCATTCATCTACAATCCTGTCAGACACTGCAACTTCTTGGGATCTTAATACTTGGGATTTCTTTGCTTGCCTAACCCTTGGGCACGACCTACTTCCACACTGGACAAATGTGACACCACCTACGACTGCTGCACCTCTCCTGCCATACGGTTTATAAGCTGCTTCTCCGCTCATATGCCGTACTCTATTCAAGATTGATGGACTGACCACATCGACTCAAGGTTGAGGGACTGACTACCTCATTCTCCTCCTGTTCTTCAAGTTTATCCTTTGTATGGACTGATGAAGCCACTGTGTGGCAAAACATTTCCTCAATAAAGATACCCAAGAGTTGCACATGTGTCTAATTTAACAACGTGTCGGTTCTTTGAACCATTCATCTACGATATTATTTATACCATTTTTTTTTACACTAATGCAGTAGTCTGCATAACAGTAAATCTTCTATTTTTTGTGAGAATAAAAATTCAAAGTGGAAAGCAAAAGAATGTAAGAGGGGCGTTGGGACGTGACTAGTGAACAGAGGAAATGTCATTTTAGTGCTAGGAATGTCTTTCTTGCTTATTCTGGACCCTATTTGGAAATTGGCATCTTTTGAAATTTGTGTGAAATTGGCAAAATTGCTAAATTCTGACCACTGTATTGGATAGTTGAAATCGGTAAATAGGTGGTTTCTTGCACTCATTCGATAGAAAAAACGGAGTTCTAGTGAAACAGTTATGATTTTTGTTGACTAGTACAGTGGAATTGGCCGAAAATAGGGCTCAAAGTGGGCAAAATCGGTGATGCGTAAACATCGTCGAGACCGCTAACTTTACGAGAGCATAATTCCGTAAGTTTTCCATCAAATTTCATACTTTTGGTGTCATTATGATCGGGAAAAGTTTCTCTATCTTTTCATATGAAAAAATTATTATTTTTTTTTAATTTGGGTGACCCTGAGAACAAGTCTCTGAGAGGGCCTGTCGACCCTGAAAGGGTTAAAGATCAATGGTTAACAACATTAAATCCTCAGTATAAGAGAGACAAGTACATGTATATCACTTCCTAATACAAAGTGCTCACCTGAGCCAGTTCACCAAAGCGAGCTTTCCTGTCCACATCAATAACGTGAGGGGTTTTAAATACTTCCTCCACAAACTTTCGCATAAACTCCTTGGGCTCATTGAAATCTTCTGCTTGGCTGTCATACGAGAGACTAGAAGCCCATGACTGCAATGATGTCTGTGATCCTAGTGTAAGAAGAAAATGTCAAGAGATCAAGTACAGTGCACCATTTTCTTTGGATAACAATAACAGGAAAAATTTAAATGTTAAACAAACAATCAACTAAAAATGCATCTTCACTTTTTAAACAAAATAGGCTTCTTTTCATGAAACTACGTATCATGAATATGCTAAACATTCAAAAAATATAACTAGCATACAGAACTGTATAAAGGTATCAGTAATACATATACTGTACAGTAATCTATTATAAAAATAATATTCTTTCCCTTCATATTTACAATTCTATAATTACAAGTACGTATATGAAAAGGAAACTAACAGAACAATGAATTACAGGTACGTATTCTAAATAGCAAGTATTCAGGAGATTACAAAATACACATTTATTTGTTCCAATTTGGATGAACCACTAGTAATAACAACTCTCCCTTATACACAGATGTTACGTATATATTTATCAGAAGAATTATGCAACTTTATCCTGATGTGGATCTTAGTCAAGTGAAGACCTACTCAGTGGAGGCTTCTGTCATATGACTGAAGCCTTGTGCTGACTTTCCAGTCCACCCTGTAAAAAGTTAAAAAAAAAAATCACATCTTAAGACAGAAGGATTTCTACCCTTAATAAAAATCAATGGTGCACCTAGGATATATTATGTACTCCCATATTAGTTATAAAATGGACTTTTCTAATACCTTTTGCTGAGGTAGCCCCATTCCCTTTTCTCATTATTGTTTGTCATATTGGTGAGCCTTACATCAGGACCCATTCAGTCTGTGGACACTGTTTCTCACATTCTCTAATAGGTAAGTATCTGTACAGTACTACACCATCTATTTCTTCCCATACAGTATATTACTGTATTGAATAATGTGAGTGCCTTAATATAAATGTATGAAAACAGTGTACATAAAACAAAATAAACACATACTATAAATCCATCACAGGAAAACTCCAAATGGGCAAAAAGAGTAAAAAAACATAAAAGAAACACAAACAAACAGCAGCAAAGCAAGAGCTGGTCTTTGTTTACATGTGGAATAAATGTTACACTACTTTGATTATGAGCTAAATACAATGTGTCTATTATTAATTAGTAAATAACAGCAGGATAATAACTATTAAGTGACAATTTTGTATTAAACACAAACTAGCAATAGTAATACAAAGGGGTTAACAATACAAAGCAATGACATACAAAAAAGTAATAAAAACTGAGGATGGTATGCAGGGGCAGCTCCAGAAGTTTTATGTAGGAGCTTGGAGGTGACTGCAGAATTTTGGGGAGGTTTCAGACATTCCTTGCTTCCCCTTGGTGCTCCAGCTGTATGAAGCCTGATTGAAGAATATACAATGGGGGTATTGCCAGGGGTTTTTAGTGATTCAAGGCTACATGTTAAAAAGGTGAAAGTCTTTGTCCTGGTTGAGGTCTCCCCACTATGTAGCACTCATCAGGTAAAGGGTGTAAAACATCAGTTTTATTTATGTCAATAAAGGGTTAGCTAGCTGAAGTGCTAGATACTGTCTTGGTAATAGATCATGTTCATTTTACTGTCCAAGTACCCAGGAATTCTAAAATTCCACAATTATTCCAGACAGAGACACCTTCTACAGAGGTTCAGTCACATTAAAGATATCTGTTTAGATTTAGAAAAGTGATATCCATTTCAACTTATCTTTCACATAAACCAGAGGAAATCCAAGCTTATGCAATAAAAATTCAGCTGAGTCCTCTACATGCCTTCCTATCATTGCTGATCCTCCCTAACTTTAGAGGAGCTTTTGCATATCTTTGATAACCACACCTAAGAATCGGTTACTTGAGCATTCTCAAAGGGTCAGGCTTATTGTTACAATAAAATAACCATTCACCTCTTACCACTCAATTTACCCAAGTGGCTGATTAACCTACCAGAGCAAGGAGTTTACATGCTACTTTATTTATTCCAAGCCAGTCACCTGCTTTACAGTGTCAGTCACTATGACCCAGTCAATAACCAGAGGGATGACATTCTAAGGATGGTTTGATGAAATCCAGGTCTTCCTCATACACAATTAACCCTTAAACTGTCCAAATGTAGATCTACATTCACCTGCATGGTGCTCCAAATATTTTGAAAAAATAAAAGTTTTATTTTTTTTATAAATTATAGAGGGCTATTTTCTGTGTGGTATAAGACCAAAAAAAAAAAATTTTTTAGGAAGTTGGCTCTGGATGCTCAGCTGATGGCAACATCCAGTCCTGCCACTTGCAAGTGTTGCTGATTTACCTTTTTTTTTCATTTTTATTTTAATTTATATAATTTTTATGTTCTGATAATTAGAATTTATAATAGTTCTTGTGATTTCATAGCCAATCTTTGTTCTGACACTAATATTATGTACTGAAATAGTACTCAAATTGTAACAATCACACTTACAGGAGAACATTTTCACCAGCCCTGGTCATTTACTATTGTCTAAAAATATATACAAAGTATTTATAGGTCCCAGCAATGTTTTAGACATGCTGGAGTAAGAAACTCCTTGAATGGTGTTATGACAAGGGTCAGATAAGTGACATTTGATGAATGTGCCCTGCTGGAGGGAACCTTGCCTTTATATGTTTTTACTCTTGCACACAAACATGTCTTTGTATGTCTGTCTGTCAGTCTATCTGTCTACCTGACTATCTGTCTGCACATCTGTCTATCTGTACATCTATCTGTCTGTCTGTCTAGCTCTGCTTATCTGTCTGTCCAGATCAGCTTATCTGTCTTTCTGTCTTCTGTGTGTGCCTGGAGTATAATATGAACTTCTTGAATAATAGTGTTATGACAGGCATCAGATAGCAAGTGACATTTGATGAATGTGTGCTGCTGGAGGGGGAACCTTGCCTTTATATGTTTTTACTCTTGCACACAAACATGTCTCTGTATGTCTGTCTGTCAGTCTGTCTATCTGTACATCTATCTATATGTACATCTATCTGTCTGTCTAGCTCTGCTTATCTGTCTGTCTAGCTCTGCTTATCTGTCTGTCTAGTTCTGCTTATCTGTCTTTCTGTCTGCCTGTGTGTATCTGTCTTTCCTTCTGCTTGTCTCTGTCTCTGGAAGCAGCTAGTAAACCTGTTAGTTTGTGGTGTATGGGCCACTCCCTGATTGCTGAGCAAGTGACACTGCTATTATCTGCATTATGTTTATTTATGTCTTATATCTACAAACAATGTATAGCACTTGGCCTGGAATTTTTGGGTTATCCTAGGTAATTTACATTATGTATAATAACTGTATTTATGAGTACATGTGAGAGACAGAGATATAGACAGAGATACAAATAGACAGTGATATAGACAGAGACATAGACAGAGATATACAGATAGACAAAGATATAGGCAGGTAGACAGAGATATACAGATAGACAAAGATATAGACAGATAGATAGAGATACAGATAGACAGAGATATAGACAGACACAGACAGTGACAGCCAAAGCCAGCCAGCCGAATACATAAGAACATAAGAAAGAAGGAACACTGCAGTAGGTCTACTGGCCCATGCAAAGCACGTCCATGTCACCCCCCCCAGCTTAGACCAATGACCCACCTAGTCAGGTCACATCCACTGAAAGAAGGAGCACGACATCTGACCCAGTAGCACAAGCTAGTCAGGTTCAACGTACACCCACCCACACCCACTCATGCATTTATCTAACCTATTTTTACTTTCCTCTTAAAATGTGAGTGTTAATATGACATGACATCAGTGAATCACTGGTGTTTGCCACGCTATTTGCTCTAGTTGGCGCTCAGTTGAACTGGTGCTCCCACAAGGTACTAAGTGGTCCCCAATTTTTTTCATAGCACACACACTGAGTGCACAGACCCATACTTTCATGTCTAGGCGACTCAGGCCTATCGCACCAAATTTGAAGGAATGAAAAATAAAACGTTGATCTACGTTTGGTGCCTACCACACGTGAACGTATATCTATATGTGGACAGTTTAACGGTTAATTATTTATTACAAGTTGGGGCACTGAAACTGGGCAGCATATTTGGTTCATAAAATAATTTTAAGAACTTCTTTAGGTCTTCACTCAACACCCCAAGTATGAATCACAGTAAAAGGCATTCAACCTCCTCCTGGTAAGAAAAATATTTTGCCTATTGACATTACTCAGTTTGTGTTCAGAAATTTATAATTCATATATTTCAGAAAGACAAAGCAGTGTGCACATTGTAGGTGTTCAAATATGTCATTATTACAATATTTTGGTATTTGAATTCAAACCAACCTGGTAAAAAACTACCACAAAGATGGCATTTCTGAAACCTCCTCACACAGTGAAATCAGCACTCAATGGTCCCTGGTGCTGGCATACAATATATGAAATTCAGACCAGCATTTGCCTGACCCATGGGCAGGCAAATGCTGGTCAGTAGAATCTAACATTTTGCATGATGATATATTGCATTTTTAATATACTGCTATTAAAATTTATTTCCTAAGTTGACAAGTCTCAAGAAATGGTCAGATTCTTCATGATATAAAGTTTAAAAATGGTGGCTCAGCCACAAAGGAGTTTGAGTGGGTATCCTGTCTTTGTCCAACTTGTCAATTCCTTGCAGTATTTTATATGTCATTATAATTTCTCCCCTGAACCTTCCTGTCCTTCATGTTGTCAGGCTGATTTCCCTTAACCTTTTCTTCACGGGGGGAGGACATCCACTGAACTCTGGAACTAGTCCTTGTTGCAAAACCTTTGGGCACTTTCTCTAATTTCATGACGTGCTTGACCCAGTGGTTGGATGCCAAACTGGTGCTACATACTCCCAGTATGGGCCCTGAATTACAACAGTGTACAGAATCTTGAACAATTCCCCTTACTGAGGAATCGGAATGGCTATTCTTAGGTTTGGCTGCAGTTATCTGATTGATGTGCACCTCAGGAAGATGTGCTCAGTATTATACTCACTTCCACGATCTTTTTCCTTGAGTGAGGTTTGTCGCTTTTGGCCACTTAGACT